CTGCAACAAAATACACCAAGCATGTCCCTAATCTTCCCCATTAATGCAAGTATTAGAGTTGCCACAGGCATCTTATTAAATTATCAGCGGAACTGAAGGTGATTCATGTGACTGAGTAAGAAGAGAGGAGGGTTATGACATAATCTGTCTTCTAAAAGGGGCGGGTGACTTGTTGAAAAAGCTCACAAATCACCGCACTGTGTCTCCTCCCCCCTCCACAGCCCAAGAAGAGATCCATGGTACTGGTGACAAATTTCTGTGTGACACATTGCTGATCAGCCTGGGAAGCCAGTATTTTTTACTTCAAAAATTAGTTGTTGGAGATTCTTTGAGCTGAAACTGAAACAGCACTCCTGAGAACACAAACTGTCCTGTATTCGATTTTATTATCTTGCATATGCAGTTGCTTTAGGGGCCTTACTTTTACAGCCCATCAGGATTCATCTAGAAGGTCTGTTACAGAAGCTTCTGACAGGAAATCTGTACAGAAGCACTGCACGACTGTTGTCGTTCTGTTCTGAAAACAAGCTGCGTTCTGAATTGTTTCCTATTAAAATAACATGCAAGGAAGCATAACATTCCATGCTTGGTGGGCTCTGAGCAGGCTGTTTAAAATAGCTACCTGAGTTGTTCAAACATTTCTTCCCTTTCTTGCCATACCCTTTTATGTTTTTGCTGATTGTCCCCATTTTGAATTAATGCTGTTGTATTATACTCTGAAGTCTGATTTTTTTTGTCATGTATTCTGGAGGAATATTTAAGCCTTTTTCTTGGAAAAGAACTCTATAATGACTGGGTCGTGTAAGTTATACTTAGACAGTAAGGTTTCTAACAGCTATTGGTATTATGCCCGGGTTAAAGAGCATGTTCCCCAGAGAGATCTGGAAACTGAAGATGAAGAAGCTGCTAAAGCAGGTGTTTGAATGCAAAAGTTTGGGGGTTTTTTTGTTTGGTTTTTTTTTTTCCCCCTAGAACTTGGAGAAACAGTTGATTTGGAATTGGTTCAGGAAATGTTTTGTTATTATCTGATGCAATCTGATGGGCATTAAACTATATCCAAAATATGGAGACTATAATACCGACTATAATACTATTTTCATCTGCATTGGTACTACCATCAATAAAGTTTCAACCACTTTGCTTTAGCATATCTTTCCTTCCACTTTGTTATCAAGTTTTATCATAAACTAGTTTACACGTTTTATGCAATTTCTCTCATTCTTTCATTATAAGAAATTAACAGATTTAGCTTACAATTTGTGGAGCCTACATAATGATTTTTAGTCTTTAGGGCTACGTCTTCTTAAAGAACATCTTTGTGGTAAATCTTGGTGATTCAGCCTTTTGGTCATGTGGTAACACAAGTCTGGCGTTTATTGTTTGTGAGCTCTTAAACCAATTCAAGTCACCTGTAGTCTTATGACTTTAGTATTACAGTCCCTGTATTCCATTGCTGCTGATAGGTGTGATATCTAGCTGTACTTGCACAGTTTTCTCTCAGTACTGACTTTCCCAACTGCAGAATGCACTCCAATCATCCACAGATGGCCTTGGTTTATATTACATTGTTTTATCTTGTCTTTATGCATGCCACAAAGATTGCCCAAGTCTTAAGCAACTGCTGTCTGTCAATCAGCCACTTCTACTTAGCAGGTCATTTTCTGTCTGCTGTACTTCCCTGTATGTATCTGAGCAGTCTGTGGCTGACTTACTGGCAGGGTTGATGTTTTTGTTCTTCTCCCTTTTCTGTTTGCACACGTGTGATTCACTAGATTTTATACGGGTATTGAGTATTTGGACTTCAGCAGAGGATATTTCACAATCATTCAGTGCAGCAGACGTCATCAGAGGCTATACGTTTAGTAAATGTGAGTGTAATAAAATGTCTTAATTTGTGATTTGATGTTGAACTAATTCTTAATTGCTGATTATATATAATGTTCGACTCGGTTTTGCATTCATGTCAGACTGGTTATGTAAAAATGTGTTTGCAGTAATTTAACTCACTGAGTGTAAGGCCAGAGGGGAGTGTTACACAAGTGGTTTCAGGTACGTTTCTTAAACCTAGCCTAGGAAAATAGCAAATGAGGGCAGGAGAAAGGGTGCAAACTCTACTGGGATAGGTCTTCTTCATCACTAGGTTTTGTCATTAAGAGAATCTTTCCCTGCCTAGCAGTGTGCTGTTGCCTGAATATGTTCTAAGTGCAGTAAAGTCTCTCCTACCATTGTGTGTGTGACTCGGAGACATATTGGGGAAGGCCTGTGGCCTCTCCATTGAGAAAACTCATTTGTGGTACATAATGGAAATTCCCTAATGGAAACATAGTTGCCAAGGCTAAAGATTTTGGATTCTAAACTACAATATAAGACTTTGCTTTATAAGTGGTGTAAAAGCCCAGGCAGAATGGCTGACAGTATGATTGAGGATGCATAGCTGAGGTCAAAGGATTATGTAGGCAGACATGGAGGAATGCATGATGTTTACTTATGAGGATTCATTATTTTCATTATAATGCTACAAGGAATAACCTTTAAAGTCATACAGATTGACTGACCAACTTTTATTACAAAGGGTATAAGTTAAACTGAAGATGTATGTTGTGTAAACACAGGGTGGGGGTGAAGTGGGAAGTATTTCTTAATGAAACAAGGCTTGAAAAAACTGCATTGAGATGTTAAGAAAGACGGATAGAGATGTTAGGACACATAAATTCTAAAAAATTAAAACTAGTTAGGAGAAGAAGAGGGAGTGAAGTCACCGTTACTTGAAGGGCATTAATTACTTATTTAGTGGGCCAGCTCCCTATAGTTGGCACTTAAATTTAATAATTTGGCTGATAATTCTGTCTCTAAGGTATGCACTCACATGTGTATATTTAGAGCCATTTCTGTGAAATCTTGAATCATGGTTGTACCTACTATAAACTGGTCAAAAGCTAGTAAGAAAAGTATGTTCTGAGTAGAGTTAACATGTTGTTCCTTTGACAGTGAATGCTGATAGGTAAGGCGTGGAGTGAGGTTCTGCACATTCTGTTCTTTAGTGGTTTTGACCTCCAAAACAGGGAAAAAGGACCACATTTAGTGAATTTATAGGTGATTCTAGTTAGGGACCTTGCAGCCATGCTAAATGATGTGACCAAGACGTAAGAAGAACCTGATGCATAGGGAAGCAGTATAAATAATAGCATGCAATTCAGTATAGACTAGTCCAGTGTTAAACATTTAAGCAGAAACAATGAGTAAACACAGGGTAGAGAACAGGATGCTAGCTAAATAAGAGCATTTCAAAAGGGATCTGGAAGTTATGGGTCATAGGCTGACAATACAGCAGTGTTACTATATGGCAAATATGAAAAGAAATATGGGCTAAGGGTCTGTGAGGAAAAGACTGAAAAACTTGTTTGTTTAGTCCAAAGAGGGACTTGCTAATTAGAGATCTATAGATAGTCATCTTCAAACATGTGAAAAATTTCTGAAGCGAAAGGAAGAGCTTTTTTTTTCCTTTTTTTGCTTTTTGCTTTTTTCTTTCGTTTTTTTTTTTTCTTTTTTTCTTTCTTTTTCTCTCTCCATCCATGGTGGTATGATAACCCATAGATTGAAGTTGAAGTTAGATATTAGGAAAAATGTAAGGGTAGCCAAGAAGTAGGTTATCTGGGGAGGATGTGTAATCCATTTTTGGACATTTTTAGGAATAGGCAAAATAATGTTGCAAATAATTGTCAGGCCTAGAATGGAATAATGAACCTTTCAGTCCTCTATATTGGTGTCTTTGTGATTTGCTCAATTCCTTTCAAAATTATGAGAGACAAGGGTGCTTAGTTCCTGTCACCTCATAAAGATGCCATACTTCTAATTCAGCAATTTATAGCTTGAGAAGTATCTTGTGATTGAATAAATATTTGATTTCTTGGTTTGCATTAATTAGTACCATGTTTATTTTAATCATCTGTTTTACGTTTGGGCCTGTAGATCTTAGTAGAGATCAAGAAGACATGAATGTATTTAGTATGGAAAAATAAAAATCCTATGCATGAATGTTCAGTTGAAAAAGAAAGGAAAGTTGCAGAGGATTATAATTATATTGGTGCTATTGTACAAGTAACCATAAATGAGTAGTCGGCTGCAGACCAGTGTAGCTGAATGAAAGGTGGTGAAGTTGGGTTCCTGTGTTAGCTGAAAAGCCAGCCAGAGTGTTTTATTTCCCAGCAGCAGTGCACTGCCTGCAGTGGAGCTGGGAAGGGAACCGCCAAGGGCTCACATTACTGCCGCTGCCCTAAGCAAACAGCTCCGTTCCCACAGCTAGACAATGTTCTGATATGTGGGATGAAGCTGTGTGACTCTTCTGAACGTTTTAAAATAGATCTGCAGCTTTTATTTTATCTGAATTCTAAGGTTTCTCTCTGGAGTGTTAAAATTCATAGGAAATGGGACTCAATAGGAACAGGCCATGTTTTAGAAGGTCTTTCTCCTTAGAGCCATTTAGAAAGCTGTAAGTGATTACGTAGCTGGAGTAGTTCCTGATAGGAATTTGATAATGTAAATAATTTATTTGCTTACAAAAAATTTATACTTTTCTTTCAGTAATTTCTAGGCATAGTATAATACATATAGCAGTTGTTACAATTTAAAAATAAACACGAAGATTCCTTGACTTTGGCAAAAGATTGCTGAGACCAGATTTTTCAAATTAAAAGTTTTTTGTCTTGATATGGTGGTATATCACAGTGAAATAATTTGCTAGAAAGTATCAAATCTATTCCTATACCATTCCTAACTGCAGGAAATGAGAAAGTATTCAGAATCCAGCTGAAACCAGGTACATTCAAAAGGTTTCACACGTATGAAATAAACAGTTCTGGTCTGTAGACTCATTTTGCGTGTTCTTTTTATATTATAACAGTCACACTCTCTCTGTATATATATATCTTTTTTTTTTATTAATTACTTCTTGACATTTCAACAGTAACTGTATAAATTCTCATTGCACTTTTTTCCCTCAGTCACAGGTGAATCATCATTCATCTAACAATGAAACTTATCAAGACAGATTGGCACGATTAGAAGGTGATAAAGAGTCGCTCATACTGCAGGTATGTGTTAAAGAGAACATGGTCTACATAGTTGATACTCTGTGAATAAAAGCTGAAGTAACAGTATTTTCTTAGACAGCTGTTAGCAGGGCACCAAATGTAACTGATATTTAATCAGGAATTTATTTGTATAATTCATCACTGATTTCATGGTGGGGTAACTTGGTAAATGAGAGGGGAGTAACAGCAGTAAGAGGAAGAAGAATGGCAAAGGGAAAAAAAAAAACTTAAAAATAATGCTGTGGAGTCACAAGGTAATGTTGTAGTAGTGGTTCTCATTGTAGATTTGCTAGGTTGATTTTTGTAGGTTTTGTATGCCAGTATTTTTAATGAACTGGGAGACTGGCAAGTAGACAGAACTGGGATTTTTCCTGCTTTTATACTGTACCAAAGTTGCTTTATACCATAAGAAAGCTTAAGGGGAAGGTGAAGGGGGGAAAAAGATGATTTGATGGTAAAATGCATACCTAAGCTCTTCCAGGTTTCCTATTTCTCAGTTTACCAAGCCTTTTTCAAAGATCTGCAGTCCCATGTCAGTTTTCCTCCTGAAGAAAACACGTTGTACAAATTAAATTTTTTAAAAAACTTAATTCTTTTTTTCTGTATATTTTTCACTATTACAAGCTGTATAAAAATGCTTTTTCAAACTGAAGCTGGCGATTCTTTAAATGGTCTTTGCATATCCTTTCTCTTTACACTTACAAGAGCTTATTATAAGCATATATATTTATATCAAACAAAAGTTAACTATACTGGGCAGGTGTTCTCCCTACTTTTGGTTACTAGTTTCTGTAAGCATGTTTTATCCTGTATGTTGTGCTCACACTTGTGTTAATTCACTGAGCAGAATCCTCACTACTGTTGTTAAATAAACAATAAATTGTTTGTGAGACATAAGTTTAGGCTTGGTTGGATTTTTTCTTTACTGTTAAGCTAAAATTGCTATTACCAAAATTTGGGGGGGAGGGGGCGGGAATTCCTGAAAGAAAAACAAACTTCTGGTTGGTATTTAAATGAGTGCTGCAAATTCCCTTTTTTCCTGAGAATCAATCAGGTCAGGGGAAATAACACCACAACTAGCATTTATTAGAATACCTGTTATTAATGGAGTCATTATTAACTGTATCATCTATGATTCTATTAATAATAGCAAACAACTTTTCACACGGTACATTCACTACTCACACAGTTCACTCCCACACATGAGCAACTCGGAATTGGAGCAACAATCAGGAGGCCAAAGCTACTTAGAAGCAGGGGATGGTACTGATGCACTGTGGCTTTGTCCCTGAAGGCCTCCTTTGTTTCATCACGTGCGTGCATGGTCCTGTAGTCTGTCTGCATACAGCAACCACTGTCGTCTTGGATGTGGTTCATGCTGTACAGCTGGTCATTGATGGTCATGCATGCTGGCAGGCTTGTACAGATTTGCCAGAATCTTGGTGTTTCAAAGTGTGTTGGCTTTTGTGGATTTAACAAGACCACTAGTAGCCAGCAGTTTTAAGTTCCTTCAGGCTGTTCCAGGCTACTGCTCAGTATGTGCTTTTCCTGTCTGTGTTGTGCTGTTCTTCAGTAACTGTTTCTTCATCCACACAAATAGGTACCCATAGACTGGAGCCAGCAAAATTTGCGAAGGAGTTTTTATGACATGGTTTGGAGACCTGCCTGGAGTTGTTCTCAAAAGCATTGTAGTAAAATCAGATGCAGAAATTGTCTCTTGCCTTTTATTCCTATTACACACATGTAAAATCAAGAGACTTAGTCAATATTTCTGTCTTTTTCCATCCCACTGCACAGTACTGCAGTAGAACTCCAAAACCCCAGACAAATAAGGTATGTGAAAACCTCAACCTGGTAGATGAGCATCAAAAACAAAAACAGAAAGGTGCCAAGATGGAGCTGGGGTTAGAACCTGTTTTACATCAGTTCTGCATATTTGGTCTAGGCAGCTGAATATGAGGAACATGGGCAAGTCCCATGCTGAGGTTATGGTGGCCTTGAGGGAGTCTGCTGGTACAAACCTGGCTCCTGGGTGTGATTGTTGGCATGAAGGATGAGAACGTGGTGGGAAAGGGAGCATCTCTGTTCTGTAGCTCATGTTGAATTGTGCCAGTGACTGTGGTCCATAACTGTAACCTGTAGGGAATATGAAGCTGGGAGCAGTCCAGCCTTGCATCAGACTTGCTGCAGAAGAAGCAGTACAAGGTATCTTGTAGTGAGCCCAGGCAGTACCCACTATCTCTGTCTGCCAGGGCCGAGTCAAGCCGTGACACCCACTGCCCCGGCGCGGGCTGTGGTGGGGGCTGGAGATGCTGCAGCATCAGGGGTGCCTTCCTATAGCTCAGTTGCCCATGTGTAGGAGCTAAGGTATAGGAGCACTGCTTCAGGTGTTTGGGTTGGATGGGTTTTTTTTCACAAAGATGTTTTAAACCCTTATACCAACTAATTCTTAGCTAATTGTTCAATATACATCACTTCTGTAGATATTTGCAGAGAATACATTGTCTGCGGGCTGACTCTAGCGGGTGGCACGCTCCTAAGGTGAGGGGGACTGGCCAGCATAGTGTATGCTGGAGTTATGGTCTGTGTGCAGCCCGCTGATTCACTGAGGAGTCTAGCAGATGTCATCCTGAACAGAGAGGAAAATATGAGCTCAAAGAGGCTAGCAGGCCTCTCAGCCTAACTCCTGGAACATCTAACACATGCTTCTAAAGCTGCTAAGGTTTTACTGAATTCCTTTCAGACTACATTTAACATACAGAGTTTTCCTTACAGGTTACCATGCTAGTTGGAACCTAACCCGACCCTTTAAGTAGAGCTTGGTTTTCTTCTTGTGGAAGCTGCATCAGGCTGAAGGGGAGGATTCAGTACGTTTCAATTTGCTTTCTGACCTCAGAGGGAGAGATTTTTGTGTGCCATCACTCATTTAATGAGAGCAAAAGAGAGAAGCAGAAAAGCAATAGACTTCCTTGTGGGGAGTCCTCTTCCTGCCCTAGCCTGGGTGTGTCCCCTGCCAATCTGCTTTCACCCCTCCTGACATTCCTCATCCTGTGTTCATCTGTGTTCTGCCCTATCGCCAGCACTTCTAAAGAGGACTGTTTTTTTTTCCTTTATATTTTTCTGTGTTCCTTTGCCAGGCATGCTTGTCATTATGTTTGCAGGTAAAACAAATACAGATCACTCAGTCACTCCCTCTGCAGCTTCCCTGGAGTCAGGTCCATTGTTCGTTGGTTGTTTTTTAGAAATGCTGGGTAGTGGGCACATCTTAAAGGTTGCACTTTCACATAATCACTCTTTCTCTCTCTCTCTCTCTCTCTCTCTCTTTCTCTCTCTCTCTCTCTCTCTCTCTTTCTCTCTCTCTCTCTCTCTCTCTCTTTCTCTCTCTCTCTCTCTCTCTCTCTTTCTCTCTCTCTCTCTCTCTCTCTCTTTCTCTCTCTCTCTCTCTCTCTCTCTTTCTCTCTCTCTCTCTCTCTCTCTCTTTCTCTCTCTCTCTCTCTCTCTCTCTTTCTCTCTCTCTCCCTCTCTCTCTCTCTCTCCCTTTCTCTCTCTCTCTCTCTTTCTCTCTCTCTCTTTCTCTCTCTCTCTCTCTTTCTCTCTCTCTCTTTCTCTCTCTCTCTCTCTTTCTCTCTCTCTTTCTCTCTCTCTCTCTTTCCTTCTTTCTGTCTTCTTTCTAGCATTGCAGGAATGGATGTGAGAGCATAAATAAGTTTTTGTTAACACATTTTATTCAAACTGGAATTTAAACACCTATGAATTGCTTTTTTTGCTTGTTTATTTTTGCTACCTGTTTGATGCAGCGTGTTTCTAGTACAATCAAGACTTTTATATAAATAAATAGTAGAAATGAATGTACATATTCATTAATAAAACTGAGCATGTGCTGCTTAACACAGGAATTAACACTGTAGTTGTTTCCACATCTTTTTAATGTTATCCTGAGCATAGTTTTCTCAGTTTTGCCAGCTTTAAGTTAGGCTGCTGGGCTTTTTTTACTACACATTCACTGGTTCTGTACCACTGTTCCCACAGTTCTTTACCAGTATTGCTTATTGTTTCTTTTCCTGGGATTCATTGTCTGTATCTCACTTATTTTACTTTCATGTTTTGGCTTGCAAAGCCTGGGAATTTTTCTTGGAATAGAACATTGCCGCTGTTAAAACTTGCCTTTTACTCATTGCATTCTTTATAACTTCAGAACACTTTATTGATAGGTAAGCTGTTTCTCCATTCGTGTAAGAAGTAAAGTAATTGGACGGCTTCTGAATGAACAGTTCTATTGTTTATCCATTTTAGGGAGTGAGATGCCAACAGAACCTGAAGTGGCAATACATGCCTCTGAACCACATAAAAGTTTTTCAATATCTATGTTCTTGTTTAGTGCTTTCTCATTTTTCAGACTTTCACACAAACTGACTCAGGCTACCTATAGGTAATCTTCCATCTCTTCTAGAAAGTGCTCTTTCTTTTTTATATTAAAACAAAATAATCTGTGGGGGTTGGGGAGTCAGAGGGCGGAGTTGAAGCAAAATATAGGTAAGACTGAGAAATTGTCTGTCTTGATAGAGCAGGTTGCTGTGGTGCACAAGAATATTAAACCACTGAGGACTTAGAAAAGAACTTGCTGTTAAAAAGCACATTTGGATGTTAATTGTATAAGGTAATTGAAACTTATTTGCAGTCAATTCAGTAGCATTGTGCTTCTCTTCTCAAATTACAGGTAAGTGTTCTTACAGACCAGGTGGAAGCTCAAGGTGAGAAAATCCGGGACTTGGAAGTCTGTCTTGAGGGGCATCAGTTGAAACTGAATGCTACAGAAGAAATGCTTCAACAGGTAAAACTCTGGATTGGAAAGCTGCTTGCATAATCTCCTCTAACAGTAGGGTGAACATATATGTTCAGCTTGTATGCATGTGCACGTGCCTTTGGCAACAAGATAAAACAGGAAAAAAATGCCACTTTTATTGTTCTCTTGCTGCTTTCCTTTTTTTTTTTTATTTTAAATAAATGTTTCTTTGTTTTCCTGTTGCAGAAATGTTTTACTGACTGTTTGCACAATACTGTACGTGGCAGCATGTAAAATGAAACTCCTGTGTCTTATTTGTACTGTGCTGACTAACTAAATTTGGACATGGTTGAGTAACTGGTTAGACAGGTTAAATGTATCTAATATAGGTAGGAGTTATAGAATTAATTTTTATTTAAGTATCTTCTGTTTTCCTATGGCTTTGAAGCTGAATAGATAGTAAATTGAAATTAATTACAGTATCAAGTTTGGTTCTATAACTATTCTTGCTTAATTTAGGAGCTTTCTCCTTATTCTTGAAAGAAAACTAGTATATAAATACATTTTCCTTTATTTCAATTTACAGTTCTAGGCCATGTGATATAATTTTTGTTCTTTCATGTAATACATTGAGAGAGCAGAGCAAATAATAAATAATACCTTACTTTTTATATGCTACTGCAGAGATGGCATCTGTTGATGCAAAAGAACTTTCCAGGTGCAATTTTCTGTTATTACATGATGGAGGTCATCTGCTGGTAATACAGCACATAGATATCAGAAATAGATCTGAAACTGTAACTAACCCTCAAAATCTACACCAGAAATTAGCAGGATAGATATTGTTCTTGATGAACTTAATTCCTTTCCCCAGACAAAATATTGTGTTATAGATTTACTGTTTTAGTCTGAGAGATACGCAAGTCTTTCTATGAACTATTCATAGCTTTAAATTGTTAAATAGTTGTGTTAATCTATATAAACTTATTTTACTATGATCAGGATCCATGTACATGTGTACGTAAACATCAGTTTCTATAAGATAAACTTGTATACTAAACCTTTTAAAATTGTAATTCTCCAAGCTTCTCTAAAAAAACTTGGTTTCACATAACTTTTGCAGCCCAAAATGCTTCCAGCTGGGAAAAGTTTTGTTCTTATACTTAACTGAGGGCATGTTTATAAAAATGCATATAGCACGTGCATTTTGTTTTGCGTGGAGATCTGGAGTGAAATTCAACGAACAGTAAGTATTTAAGTTATGAAAATCTGTTTCAAACTTCAGGAAGACGTTCACAATAAGAGTGTAGAAGTTCCCTGTTTCAATCTAAAACTAGATAGTTGTTCTGTTAAAATCGTTTATTGTTTCTCAGACTTAAAATTTTCTGCTCTGATAGTCTTCTGAGGAAACTGTGAATTTAAAGCCTGAGTTAACAGAACATTGAGACATCTGAAAATAGAATATAATAATGCACATACATTGCTATTTCAGTGAAAACATTTCTATTTACACACCTGGCATTATACACATGCACAAATTGCTTACAAAGCTGATCCTAAAATGATAAGCTACGCAAATCTGTACTAAAGCTAAAGAAGTTAGAGGATCCTCAAATATGTTTAACATAAATCTTAAATCTAAATTTTGAAATCACTGAGCAGCTGTAATTGTTGCCAAATAGTAATTTCAAATTTATTTTCTTTCTTGTACACTTATTAAATAGTTGGCAATAAGCTCAAGTTTGTTGTTTGTGTTGTACTTTTGAGATGTTGCATTTAACATAATTTACAGAAATACTGGTAAGCTTGCTTGTTGATTACTAAATTTCTAAGTGATTTCCCATACTTACAGGACATGTGATAGCTCAAGTTTTGGGATGGTTTGTTTGTTTTTTTCCAAGACAGTTATCTAAGCCACAGCTTGGTAAAGTGTGGCCTTGGATATGTGTCTCACTTGATTTGTGTTTACTGTTGGTCTGTGAGTTTGTCCTTTCAGACTTTGTACAGACACATACAAAAATGCTTATTCTTTTAATTTTAGTGTGAGTTATGTACTTTCAATAGCTGAACCAAAATTAAAATAATAAATTCAGTATGGAACTGAGATATTTAAAATTTATTTTCTCACTGAAAGAGCAAATTAAGTGAAATACTAAAGGATGATGAGGGAATGGTAGTAGTGGTGTCTTTCTCATATCAATTACATCCCCCAGTAGACAGTAACATATGGGAAACCCAAGTTAGATCTCTCAAAATCTCAGCAGTTAGAGAAATTTTACATTTATTATGGCTCAGCAGAGGGCCGTATTTGCCTGTAATTTGTTTTGAAGGTTTTCTCAGTTCATCTTGTTGAAATGATTGTCCTCTACAGAGAGTGAGTTGAGATTTGGAGAGAAGAGAATGAGCCAATAGTGTGGCGTTTATGACATTCATGTAAGATATGGGGCTAATAGGCCTTCTTGCAGTTAATTAGTCAAAAGTAGAGTGAGTATCTGTCCTGAGGGACTTCAACAGACTGATTGGTCAATCAGGTTTTGTGGAAGTTGGGTTTTGATCTTCTCAGCCAGCAGGTGCCAGTGGCCTGTACAAGTACTCAGGATGCTTAGCAGAGATGAAAGATGCTAGTGTTGGCATTTGAGGTCTTCCAGTCAAAAATACTTAGTGGGTCTTTCAAGACAGTGCTTATTTATTTTTACAGCCAACTTAACTTATTTCTAATAAGAAAAGTTATCTGCCTCTATATACCTATATAAGTATTCCCAGAGACACACAAATATTTTCAGAAAGAATTGTATTATCTTCCTGAGGTGCATGTAAATCCAATTTTATTTCATGTTTCTGCTTGCTTATTTACAATATATTGAACTCCACTGATGTTTACCTTTGTGAAATTAAGTCAACTGCTTCTGCTAATTGGAAAATGGAACAATGAAGTTAAGTGCCCTAGCTTGAAGAATCTTCTCGTGTATTAGTAGAACTAAGATAAATGCAATGGTTCTTAATTCCATGCCTAAAATGCTAAAATAAAACCAATAAATCATACACTTGAAGGTCATTTAATGATGATATCTGGTAGTTTCACAACAGAAAGGGTATGTAATGCTACCCTGCAAAAAATTTTTGCTGAATCTATGCTAGCAGAGACTTGTCCGCTTTGTCAGGGTGTGGTTACTGGCTGAAATCCTTCTGGCTTATGATTTATGCACAGTTGTTTTGAACCCTGCTACAAAGTGATCATGGAAACACTTCTGAAACGGCAGCTAAAATAAACTTTTTACAAATTGCATAAAATGGCGTTTCAGTGTTTAGGGTGGACATCTTGAATGCAGAATAGTAACAGCAGATACTGCTGCCTCTTTGCAGGAAATCATGATTCTGTATTACTCTAAGATGATGATGCAATATCGCTTAAGTTGGATGTGAACTTTCAGGAAATGAGCTGAGCCAATCTGAAGGTTACTGCTACAAAAGAAAATAAGGTTAAGCTATTTTATACTGACTCTCATGCTCATCAGACTTTTCCTTGGTGACTAGGAGAAAACTAACTTAGGGTTTAAAAAGAAGGGGATGTTCTTCTGCTGGGTTAGCGACTTGAAACAGCTCATGGAAAGGTCAAGGCATGGCGTAAGGGCAATGGTGAGATGTGCGTTTGACCTAACTGTTCATGAATCTGCAGCCAAAGAAAATAGAGCTCAGCAGCATTTGAGAAACAAGAGAATCCTGTGTAACAGATGCAGAGATGCCCTGGTGTGCACAGTTGCAGATAATGCATGTATATGTTTTCATGAGATGTGATGCTTACAGTGTCAAATTCAGCATTTTTCTTTTGTAAGGATACTTATTCCACTACAGGCTGTAATCAAGAGAAAGCATTTCTCATCTTGAAGTTGTTTGCATTTTCTTTCTTTAAAACAAAGTAGGTCTTTCAAAAACTCATCAAAGTCAATGGAAAAGCTTTCAATCAGTGCTGAAGTATGATTCTGGTTTGGGCCAAGAAACGCATTTCCCTAGTCATACTGCATAGTAAATGTTGGAAATTGTTCTGGAGTATGAACAGGAGCAACACACTAGTTTGGTCTCACTGAATTGCCTTCTAGTGGTATCTCTGTTTTCCTGTAAAATGTGTAAAGGATATGGAAATGCCAGCCTGTGTGAATAGTTACCTGCCTTGCCTCTTAGCACATGGTAGTGAATATGTCTTGAAATAAAAAAAAGCTCTCCTAGAATTAGCCTGTGAAGACAATTTGTTCTGTGACAGTCCATTTCCAGTGTATCAGCTGCTTTACAGTGTAAAACTACAGCCAATTTTAGAGAACAGTGATGCGTATGTGTCTTTTTCTAAGTTAGTTTATGGCATTTCTAAGTAGTTTCTTCCAAACAATTTTAAGAAATACATCTTTTTTTAAGAGAAGAGAGGGTCTTGAACATCTGCTATGTTATGTTAGCCTTGGGGAAACCTTGTATCAACTTGTTATCAACTTTTCTTTCTTTTGTACTCTGTACAAATGTAGACTAGAATTGGAAAGGAAAAGTAATTTTTGCTCTGTAAAGTAGCCTAAATTGTCCCTTAATAGAAAGTGCCAGCCACACATGATGTAAACACATTGGTGCTGTGGAATCTGTATTGTCAATACTGCCAGCTCTGTTAAGCCAGGTTGAAAAGTGAGTTTTCTGCGCATACAGATTTCACCCCCGCAGTTCTTCTAAAGAGCATTTGTTCTGGCAATTATAATGAGTAAGGATAGTTAGCTACCATTTTGCTATTCCAGTGCTTCATTTGATTTATTTAACAGATACTAGTTCCCATTGAAGCTATCTGGTGTAAAGTATAACAGTGTACACTTTGCTTTGCCAGTCAAAATGTTGCTCCATGTGGCAGTCGTCCTGTACCTGACCTGTTTCAAATCCTAAACATGGTTTGACATTTCTAGGACCTACCTTCCAAATTATTTCTGTCGTGTAACTGCGAGAAGGAACCCAGGGGACTCATGTGAGATGGTGGCGTTATGTGGACACTGACTGTGGCTTCTATCCTGTAAATTCTCTTGCAAAGTAGAAAGCACTTGGCTTTAGGATTCTTTCTGTCTTAAACATACACATAAAAACTGAAATGCTTGAGAGCAAACAGGAATGAATTTCTGTTTCTTGTGTCAGTTTATGGCCAATTTCTGCCTAGGTGCAAGGAGCAGGGGAAAGTGCCCTTTGTGAAGCAGAATGGAGAAGCTTTTAAAAAACAGTGGATTAAAAGAATGCAGGGAGGAGCTGTATGAGAGTAGGAACTTGAATCCAACACAATTTAGTATGTACCTGTTCTGGTTTTGCAGTTGTCTTATACTCAGAGGAGCTAGAATCCTGTCTTGGTTGCAAGATGTAAATCTGGCGTGTATCTGTTTGCTTCTCAGAAACTTTGCTGGCCAGCAAGGATCATTCCTTCAACTTCCAGTTGCCCGAGTTATCTGATCTTAGATGAATTTCAGCACTTGTTTATAGCATACAGTAACTTCTTGCCAGCAGCGAGCTTAGTGTTTCAGATTTTGAAGTGTGTTCTGTGCTGCTCCGGTTGTGAGGCATAAGGTTTTGGGGGTGTTCTCAAGTTGTGCAGTTTATCTGTACAGGTGAGCATTACACTGCTTTGTTATTTTACAGTGAACATAGACACAAAAGCTGCTTGTTGGGCGTATGCAAAGGGCTGTTCAAATCGGCAGTGCAAGGAGAAGTTCTGTCCTTTCCATTGCTTAACTATATAATGGGCAAATGATGAATTGGAGGGCTATAATTCACTCTCTGCTACTGCCTTGCACCATTTCATGGTGATTACACATGTACATTGTGCTCAGCTGTGTTTTTGGTTAAGCAAATATCTTATTTCTACCACAGCTGACACACAGCACTTGAAAGTGCAGTCCTCATTAGTGGTGGTGCTCGCTGAATTTTGCTTCCCAGGTAGGTAGCTGGGTGGGTCGGTTTGTCTGTCTCAACTATTTTAATAAGGGTGAAAATTCTTAGTTCTATGAGTTGTATTTCATACAGTTCAAAAATGTGAAATGGGATCTTTGGAGTTCCCCCCTTTACTTGACTAAAATCTTACTTATGGTTTCTCAATCAGTGAATGGCATGATTACTTCTTCTGTTTTGTGGAGTGCTAAATATCCTGGAATTCTCTGTGCTTGCAGGTGGCAGCCTAGAGAAGTGTTGTGTGAATAGTTGTGATAAAAGCTTTTCCTAAGCTATTTTCTGTCATGTTAAATTTTCCCAGCTGCTTTATAGGAATTATGTATATCCAAGAGAACAAAACATGAAAGTGATATATAAAGCATGTGCTTCAGTTTCATTGGGAATATTGAAAAACATGATTAAATATTTTTAAAGTGTAGTATACAATGTAAATTTTAAAAATATAGTTGTTTGGAAATAGTTTTCTGTTCATTGATCTGTCTAGTACGTGCATATTATAGCTTCTGCATGACTCATCTTTGTCATTATACTCTAAAATAGCTTTTTTTCCATAATTTTTGAAGTTGAAAGTTGAGTTTAAAAAAAAAAAAAAATTGAGAAATAAAATTGGACTTATAGTACATTTTAAAATTAAAAACAAGTCTCTTGTTTATAAATAAGGTTCCCTAGGATGTATTCTATTTTTGTTCTGTATTTCTGCTCTTTAAGGTCCTCCTAAAGCTGCTACAGCCCATTTTGCCTGTCTTATATTATGGTTTTTTTTGCTTTAAAACCAATAACATAAATGTGTATTTTCTTTTCTTACAATTGCATATTTATTCTGGCTGAATTCAAGTTGCATCATACCACTGAAGTACACTATAATTTCTCTGTAACAAAATGGGTCACATTCTTAATGAACTGTTCGCTGTGAGCATCTGCTTGAAGATGAAAATAATTGCTTCCAGATGTTGCCATTTCAAGAGGGGACATTTACTTTAAATGGCACTTTCTTTCAAAGCAGAAGTTAGACTCTCTAGATGCAAGAGAAACTGTCAGCTGTTTTAAATCAGTGCAGCCCCACTGAAAGCAAGCTAGGGATAGTTAGCTGGTTTGTGTATTTTAAGGCAAGAGTTTTATGCCAGTTTATGCTAGCAGAAAATGTGATTCTCCAGCAAATTATAAAACCTTGTTTGAGCTGATTAAAAAAAATAAAAATCCGTTGGCTGCCTCCACACTCAATTATACCAGGCAGGGCCTTACTGTTCACATGGAGCTACAGAACTCTTCTGAGAGGAGTAAGGTATTACTTTCCATTGCATAATGAAGTGTAATTTGGGTGTCTAAGAAAAGGAGTAATGCTGGATGGTCACTCAAAGGATGGATCTTTTATCAAAACTCTCTAGAGGGATGCTGTCTCTCCTTGCTTTTATTAAGAAATTTTACTGTAGTATCATGGAATATCATGTCAGTATTAAAGAAAAAAAAAATCTAAATGTTATTTCAGTTCAACAGTGAATAGAGTCTGTCCATGGGGCCAAAGTCATCTCATCCTGTTAATCTTTTTGATGCTCAGTGGCCTTAGTTCATATCAAAGTTCTCATTTATAGCTACATCTTAATCTGGAGAATTCTGCTATGTTGACAGCTGTTCAGAGCTTATTCCAGTCTAAGCTGAAATGTACCTCTAGAACTAGTGTAAATTAGTGTTTTTCTGAAGGATAGAAGAGTTATTCGTAATTATAATTGTAATTTGTTATCACCTTTGTGGAAAGCAGCTACTCCTGGGATTTCATTAGGTCACTGCCTCTTGGAGTTTCTCAATAAAAAAGGCAGTGCACTATCTTTGCCTGATTAATGCTTGATTTATTCAATTTAAAGAGGAAAAAAACAAAACAAAACCAACCATGAGGCTCTATTTCTGTTTATTTTCCTGTCCGTACACAAATATCATTGTCAATGTCAGCGGGAATGGGCATCGCACTGGGAATAGTGGGTGGCTTAGAGAATTGATGTTGCAATGCAGATGCAAGTTTAGTACTATTTTTAATTTGGGCAGTAACCCTAACCCTAACCCACCAGCTTAGAACAATTTACGTGTAGAGCAGATTTGGGTTTCAAGCAAACTTTAACTGTATAATTTTTAAAATAACCTTTGTGGCTTCCTTGGCTTCAACTACTGTGTAGTTTGTGAAAGAGGAAGAGATAAAAAAGGGTGATGGACAGAGCCATTTCTGATCACTCATGAATGTAGATCTAGAATAACTATGGCAACTTCAGTTAAGTTGCTTCCGTGTAATTCAAAGCAGAATCTGCTGTGGTTCCTCAGTGTATTTCTTATGATCAAAACACTAATGTGAGTTCTGAATTGCCATAAATTTTTTTAACCATTTAGAAACCTACATTCTTTTACAAAAATTAATTAGGCACTTGGAAAGTTAGATAATGATTTTTTAGTAAGACTTAAGCTCCGGGATGGATTCTTTTTTCTCTTTGAAAATGGAGGCCAAAAGAAGCATTGTGTGTATATATATATAAAATATACTCTGTTAAATTTTTGAAAACTTTTTGCTTTGGCTTTCTTGAAAACTGAAAGATGAAGTGAAAGTATGACTAGGTATGACTATTGAATATTTTCCAGAGTGCTATCTATCACTCTGTCCAAAGTGCATTTTTCTGCAATCTAAAAAACAAACTCAAGGCACGCAAGCAAAAGCCATGGCCAGTTGTTTCTCCTTTATATTGTAAACCAGTTTAGACGTTGCTTTTTAGGTTCTAGTAGGCGTCTACTGGTTCTCATTCACTGCTGTTCCATCCACAATGTGTAGCCTTCAAAAGCTGACAAGTACTACATGGTGTAAACTTTCAAGTACTGTTAGCATGACTTCAGAACTGTTGCTTGTCTTTGGTACTCTGCTTAAGGTGCTCATTCTGTAATACATACTTTATTGAATAACACATGATAAGAAGTTCCAAGATGTTTCACTGTAATATTAAGATTGCCTGCGTTTCCTGCAAGCAGAAATCGAATCCACCGTGCTGTGTTTTTTTCACTGTAAAGCAATAGCAAGTATGACTTTGGAAGAAGAGAGTAATTTTGCTTTTGTATTGAAAGCATTAAACACTGGGATAGAGACTTTTCTATGGGTCTGCCAATATCATGTAGCATTCTGTCAGTGTTCAGATATAACTGGAGAAAATGTTCTGCTTTGCTTTCAGGAGTTGCTAAGTCGAACATCACTAGAGACTCAGAAATTAGATCTAATGGCTGAAGTTTCAGACCTGAAGATTAAGCTGGTTGGTATGGAAAAGGAACAGAGTGAATATGAAGAGAAACAGAACAAAGCTGAGGTGAGCGTCTTTCATTAGCTTGTTTTCTTTTGTTTCTATCATGTCTGTGGTATGCTGTCATACACCTGAGCTTTTGAGATGAAATCAGCATGCAGTAGGATTTTCCATGCTTCCAGCATAGCACAGTCTCTATCATTGATCATGTGAAATCAGTGAGGAATATGATTATGCATTTTGGGGATGTGATTTCTTTTCCTCTCATTATACTTCAGAGGTTGCTGTTTTGCTTTAATCAAGGCACAAAGGCACTTCCAGAAGCATACATTACAATTGGTGTTCACTTAACCCTTTCCTTTGCACAGGATTTGGACTGTCATGCCTACCAGAACTCTTCTATTTCCTCATTTATGTAGCAGAGGAGATTGTCAGCCCAGTAGTACGAGGGGTGTTACAAACACTTAGATGATCACTGCTGGTGATTTTAATGAACTCATGGCACTTGGGAGGGAAAGACATGGTGCAGGGCATTTTCCTCAAATAAGCCTTTCCCATTCTGGTGACATAATAATTAGTAGGATAAAAAAAAAAAAAAAGACACACATTGGAGGTAATTTTAGTCCTTAGTCATCTTCAGATGTGGACATCAAAGAAGCTTTGGGCTTTACCATATTGGTTAAGAAAGAGAGTATGAAGTGGAATCTCATGAGCAGCATCTATTTCATGGTAGTGAGCAGCAGGTGGGGACTGGGAAGGAAGGTGATTATGGAAGAGAGTAACTCATATAAATTGCCATGTGATACCCTACTCAGTGGTCCTATAAGGGGACCAACTAGCAGGAGAGGATTACCTGGCAAGGGAGGATTACTAGGCCCAAAATTTAAACAGTGGGGACTGAAAAAAGACTTTTATGTTCTGTGTTTTTTAAGAGAAGTTGAAATCCAGGCAGTGTTAGAAAGCTGTTTACTTTCCATAACATTGCTAGTGGAATGTTTGATAATTATGCATAAGTAATTTACCTGCAGTGACATAATACGTTTGGGGTGTGTTTGTTTTTTGACTTATTTACCCTCTGAAGTCTTCTTTAGAGATTAAAAGATAGCTTAAAGAGAGCAATTTCTGGCAGCATTTGCAAGCCAGAGCGGCACCAGCTGCTGTTTTTACCATCTGTGGCCTTCTCCTGCTCTTTCACCCAGAATTGTCAGGGTGCTTTGTACAGAAGGCCTAAGCAGTGTCCTAGTGCCTGGCAATCTGACCAGGCCCGTGCAGCCTGATGGCTGTGGAGGGCCACCAGCACTCCCCATTACCTGCCCGGCACCAGGAGGAGGCTGCCCGAGTTGCTGCAGGACATGCCCAGCCAGCCTGGCTCCTGGAAGGCAGCAGAGCTCTGGGCTGTGTTTGCAGTGACAGGGCTTCTAAGGATGCAGTAGGTCTGGGCTTGTGCTGCGGTGAGGCTGTGACCTGTGAAATTCTGCTGCTGCTGCAACACGGTGTGTGGCTGCCAAGGCTGGAAAAGCTGAGTTTTATTGGCCTTGGAAGCCTTTGTTGCATTGCTAATGGTAGGAAACATTACTGCTGAGATGCTGAGATGGAAAAGGATTCTAATCTGATGGAAAAGCTGAGAATCATTGTGTTAAGTATGCCCTGAATTATTAACTACTCCAAGGTGTGATTAGATTTCCCGCCTGTTGAAAGTCACAAACCTGTGTATACAAAGCAGGGGAAATGGGTGTTTAAAGTTGGGGGGGGGGGGGGAAACAGCATTTTTGGTTTGATTGTTGAGCCTTTTTAAAGAAGATTATTTCAGATTGTCTTAAATAAGCATTAATGCAATTTGTCAAGCTAAACAGGGTTGCTTTCAATCAAATTGGATGCTTGCTTGACTTCTAATGCTTTAAACGTGCTTCAGCTCCTTTTACTGTAAGTGTTACAAATTTTTCAATACAAGCACGATTTCAAACATTAGAATGAAATTTAATAACGTGTTTCTTTATATTATCAGGTATACAGCTGCTGCTTAAATTTGGTAATAGTTTGGACATCTTCCTGACTGCACCTTTCTAGTTAATAAACCATTCCTGCATACTCAAACAGTCTACCTTTAGTCTGCTTTTGTTTATGCCTACACAGTTGTGTTGTGGTAACTTAAGTGCTTCACAGTGAGGCAGTTCTCCAAACTGACAGTGACTGAATGAAATTAATCTTGCTGTAGTTGTATCTCTGAATGTCTGGGTACCACAACATGCCTTTACAGTGTTCAGTGCTTCAAATGAAATTGCAATTCCTATTTTATATAAGCGGAACAAAGCTATGGTTGACAGAGCTAGAGCCTTTCTTGTAGACAGAAGCTGGCCAGCTGCTGCTTCCAAGACTGAATTTAGGATTGACAAAGATGAGCAGAACAGCGATTTGATAGATTGGCTACTATCAGAAGTAATAGTCCTCAGTTTTCACCCTAGAGCATGTATTACAGAGGCATCCAGTAGTTAAACCATTTTAAACAGCTTGTTTAATTACACTTCATGGCTGACCCTGCCTTTTCTAAATATAATACCGTGTTTTTAAAAGTTTAAAATTAAATGTAACGTTGCAGAATAATTCAGGCAAAACATGTTTGCTCTGCACTCTGATTTTGTGTTGGCACATTTCACAGCAGCTGTTTCCAGTCACAAAGAATTTATCTATAGAATTATTTCTCTGGTTGGGTTGGAGAAAAACAAAGCTAATTAAGATGTTCTTCTAAATATGAGCAAATTTTACTGTATCAGATTCATTTCACTTGATCTTGTGTGGCTGTGGTTTAGTTTTGGTTTTGGTTAGCAGCAAAGATTTTATCCAGCATCTCTAACCTCCTCTCAAAGGTATTAATTTCCATCTTAATGCCACTTGTCTCAGGCTCTTCAAAAGCACATGCTAAATTTAACATGCCATTTATTTTTGTATCTATATAACATGGGCCAGGGGACTAGCTGTTCATAAATGGACTGCATCACTTTTGGCTTTATTGTGTTAATTCCCTTTTTGTGGAATAATGTTCTACTTTTCCCGTAGTGATGCCGTGAAGGTTTCTGAAATCCAGTCTCAGTGAGTTTGTGTAGCTTTTCTCTTACCTGAGAAGCCTTAGAAATTTTGAAATGTGTTTTCTTAATATAGCAAGGTATGAGCAAGCTGCATTATCAGGTGATTAATGGCAGCCCAGGTGCCTGCCTGAACATAAGCAAGAGACCTCCTATCACTGTTGGGAGACTGCAGAAGTGATTGTCTATTTCGACTTGCTTAACAGCCCTTCCTCTGTCCTATTTTTTTTTTTCTTTTTTAGCATGGGGTAAGTTTTAGGGGTTTTGTTTTTTCATACTGAAGATCTGAAGTTTGCTTTAAGCTCTTGGGAAGTGTTTTGTGGCTCTTTTGTAGACGCTTCAAAATTAAATACCTAGTGCATGGTTACCTGCAAGTTCAAGGAAGGTTGAGTCAGGGAGCCACCGACTCCCATGCAGGGGTTTGGGGTGTTGTCTCACCTGAATTGAATTAAAGATACAGTATGTTAGTGTTAATACATTTTCATGCTGTGAAAGAATCTCAAAAGTGAAAGCCTTTTCTACCTTGAAACGTGAAACAACTGTAAAGGCATATATTGCAGCTGGAGTTGATGTTTCTCCTTCACAGACCTCTTACCTTCACTTATAGAAGGATTTTTGCCATTTCTGTTTGAGATTGGTTGTGGCTGGAATAGTGTCCTGTCCTTGCAGCAGCTGTTTCCTAGTTTTGAGATTGTTGGTTGATCAGAGAGTTGGGATTGCAGGAAGACTGTTGTTCATTGTAATGAAGAAATTTTTTTTAAAGCCATATCATCTGTTGTTTTATCCACTAAAATCTTTTTCCCTTCTTGGGGAGATAGATTAATCTTAACTAAGTTATTTCACTTGAGAAGATGGAAAAATCACAAAACATTCATTGTTGATGTACATGAAAATTATTAGAAAGACACTCCAAACTTATAGTACCTGAGAAAATACCCAGCACTATTTGCTACTGAGTTATGGAATTTAAATGTTACATAGATTTTAATATTTGTCTTCGGTTTGCTTTCTACGGCTGGATTTTTTTTTTTTTGTATCACTGATAGACACAAATCCAAGAAGCTGGCCAGCAAATCAGTGTACTTTAAAGTCATTACTTTTTCTTCTGTGGTATGCTTTGTTTTCTTCTATCTGTGTTGCTTAACTCTTTCTCCGTGTCAGGCTACCGCCTAGCTAGCAAGCTAGGTAATGAAGTTATTTTTCTGACCCATGCTAGACCTGGAACAGAATTACTTTACTGGTAAATTCTGTGTATTAATTGTGAAAGAGTTGGTTATGACCCCAACTGAGCACTTAGGAGCTTCTTCCCAGTGGATGTGTAAATGAATGTAATCAGCAGAAGTGTGCCTCTGAGCCGGCATATTAAACTATGTTCCAGTTTTTCCTGAGTTTCTGAACTCATGTGACTGTATAAGTTTCCAAAAATGAGGGGCCAAATTCTAATCTTCACAGCAGAATCAAAATAATTTAGTCTGGAATATAGATGCTATTTAAACTGTAGCTTTGTGCAATATTGGACATTTATACCCATTCACATATTCTTTATCAAAAGGGAAGGACGTAACATTTTTTTAGTTTGCCTTCGATGTGCTTCATGTATTCCTTTCTGTTGCAATTCTAGAAATATCTTCTTTGCATCATTTTTTTTCTCACCTCTTTTTTTTTTGTTGTCTTTTTTTCCTTTTTCCCCATGTTTTCAGTCAGTAGTGAACCTGATCAGTGAGCTACAGGAGCAGATGTGTAGACTGCAGCTGGAAATTAATAGTAGAATTCAAGAAAGAAAGTCACAAGATAGGAAACCAGACTTGACGCCTAATGGTCCTCAATCTAGTCCAAGAGCAGTGGTAGAGACTCCCAGCCAGAAGAACTGTTCTCGGTGTGATGTACGAGCAGTACACCTTAGCAGGAGCTGTGTATTGACCTCTCTTGCAGAAACTAAATTCCGCTAACCAGAGCTGTGTTATGAGTTACTGGCATTAATCTTCATGGCTTCTTTAGGAAAGAGGAGATTGTCAAAAGTATTACCAAAAAAAACCCCACCCCAGACACCCTTGCCAAGTTATTTGGACAAATTCGGTCACTATTGATGTCTGTTTAATAAAGCAGAGATATCTGTAAGACATCATCACCTTTCAGGTTTTTTGATATCCATTTTACTTGTAGGCCTGTAGTGCTGGTGTGGTGTGGGTTTTTTTTTTTATTTTTATTTTTGGCGTGGTTTGGTTTCTTCTTAGTTGAGATCTGTCTGTTTGATACATACAGCATGCTAGCATGGTTTGGTAGTTTGCTGATTTTCTTCATGCAAATATCAACTTCAGCAGTCCTCTGAACACAGACTTAATTCTTGAATATCTTAAACACTTAACACGGGCATAAAATACAGTTTCAGGTAAGACGATCTGACATGCATGCTTTCCTTTTCTAATGATAATGTTAAAGTAGATTAAAAGAGCCATAATAAAAATAATCTGCTTGTGCCTTTAAAATAGCAAATCCAACACATATTATTCTTTGACATGAGCAGCTACCAGAAAAGCATTTTTGAATTTACATTACAGATCCTAGTCGTAGCTGGTCAAAACTATCACATGTCAAAACTAATTTGCAGGAACTGCTTAAATTTAGTCAAGGTGGAATGATACTGATATGCCTGAAAAAGTTCATTTTAATATTTACTTTTAAATCAGTTCAGGTAGAGAGTTTGTGCAAGTATTCCTTATCTCGTGCTTCAAAATAGTTTTTGTCTTCTTAGAGTAGGTCACAGTTTTTAATTTGGTGGTTCAGTGTGTTCATTACTGTGTGGTTCATGCATGATCTTTAATTCAGAACTGTCAAAAAATAATATCTACCAGAGAAATCTTACTTCATCTGCTGTTCTTCCTTTGCAGGGTTTGCTGCAGGAACTTAGACACCTCAAAATTAAAGTGGAAGAACTGGAAAGTGAAAGAAATCAATATGAGTGGAAATTAAAAGCAACTAAAGTAAGCAGAGTACTTCACGTTTACTAACGACAGACTTGTTTCAGCTGGGAAGGGATATCATAGAATCATAGAATCACAGAATGCCTGGGCTGGAAGGGACCTCCAGAGGTCATCTAGTGCAACCCGCTGCCATAAGAAGGAACATCTCCAACTAGATCAAGCTACTCAGAGCTTCATCCAGCCTGATCTTGAATGTCCCCAGGGATGGGGCCTCCACCACCTGTCTGGGGAACCTATTCCAGGGGTCTATCACCCTCATACTGAAGAACTTTTTCCTAACGTCTAACCTGAATCTGCCCTTTTCTGGCTTAAAGCCTTTACCCCTCGTCCTGTCACTCTAAACCCTTGTGAACAGTCCCTCCCCTGCTTTCTTGTAGGCCCCTTTCAGGTGTTGGAAGGTTGCTATAAGGTCACCCCAGAGATATGTTCTGTTTCTCATCAAGATTTAATTTTTTTACAATTGCCTTGTGTCAGGGTCTACTAGTAAAGTCAAGTTTTCTTCAACCATCTTTGGAATCAGTATTCTGGTTTAGTTGTAGGTTCTTTTTGTGCCTTTTGCTCCCTCATTGCAGTTTCAGGTCTTCTACCTTTTTATAATTATTACTTAAAATAAATAAATAGAGATATTTAGACTTGCAAAAGACCTGTTCTGAGGAAAGGCCTCTTTGAAGGTTTTCTGTGTTTTATTTCTGCAATGATGACAAGCCTCTCTGGAATATGCTTTCCAGACTGAAGAGGAGAGACATGCAAAGTTGGTTTGGTATTCACTTACTATGGAATTTATTTTAATAGACATTAAGCCCAAAATACACCATTAGATCATCTGCTTTGTCTTCGTTTATATCAAAGTGCATAGCTGCCTTACCCTTCTGTTGACCTTAAATCCTGGAAGGTTGTTAGATTGTGATCTGGAGAAACTCGACAGCTGAAACATTTAATCATTTTTCCCAGCAACTAATTTTTCCAGCTGAACATTCTCATTGTTAAACAGTTGCACTTTATTTCTAGTTTGAATTTTTAGCCCTTTTCCACCAAATGAAAAAGCACCTTGTTATTGTTCCCTTTTGAGTTACACTTTGGCGCTGCAATTGCATCTCCTTTCCTGTGTGTAAATACATATATAATCTCTGCTCACACAAATGTCTGACTTCTTTGAGTTCTAGTTGGATCTTGGAAAAACATTTCCAATTATTAAACTGGGTTTTCTTTTTAATACTTGATAGCTTCATCCCAAAATGACAGACAGCTATTATTTTTATTGGCATTTCTTTCTTTTGAGAATTCTTGGATGAATATTGAAATGCTGCTGTTGTGTCTTTTTTTCCTGCTAAAATAATAGCTCTTTGGTCCATGAAAATGTTTTCTCTGATGTGTTGGATGTGAACAGTCTTCGGGAAAATATTTTCTCAAGCGGTGTGTGGCTGGCTGCCAAGACAGATAGAGATTATGGAAAGCTTAGGAGCAGAATGAAAATAAGAAAGAACCTTAAAAGCCATTGAATGAGAGAAGATGCAGTACTAGAAAGGAAGAAAAGTACAGGGA